TAAAAGCAATTCTTCCTGCAATTACAAACTTTCTCTCTGGCATCATTTTTTCACTCATTCAAACTCAAAATGATTGATACTTCTCTCTCAAATCAATTACAATCAATAATTTGCCTAGCTCTGACATTGCCTTGTGCCAAACATCATTTATCATCACTGCTTTCTAATAAACCAAGGTCCTCATAATTTCAAATCAGCACTACTTTGAATGATTTATTTATCAGTTAAGTTCTTTATCTAATCTATATCATACCATAACATTAAATTTATCTTCCAAATACACTCAACTTAAAGATTTCAGAGGCACTCTAATCCATAGAATAAGGTTCCAGCTAAGTGCCCTGGATTTTACAACACTACTGCATACCGGAACCAGTTCCTACGCTTAAATCAAAGCTTAGAATGTGACTCGGAACTTGTGTCAAGCCAGTCAGAATGAACAGATCTATCAACAACTTCAGTTTGACCTACTTGTTTCTTCTTTTAAATTTCTTACTGATGGACCCAATTGTCAGAGCTGGACTCTACTATTATTATAAACTTTCTCTTAACTTTGATCCTGAGCTGACTCCAAATGAACTCAAGAGTGGCTTGGTTAATTCTTGATGGCACTCCATGTGCTAGGGAGCATCCCTGCTGCTCCTTTCATTTTCCTTCTGCATCCCTCTTGGTTTGGTATTTCTTTGTCCCTCTGCTATTCCCTCACACAAGAGTCTACCATAAATAAATTCAGCAGCACTCTTAATCTTGTCTCCCATAAAAACTCAATAGCAACCCACTGCTAATCTAAGCCAATAGCTTTCAAGCCTATCAAATTCCAAACCCTTTTAAATATAATAATTACTTTATAGGGCCTCCCCTGGTGGCGCTTTGGTTGAGCACTGGGCTGCGAAGCTGCCCGCGTCTTCTGCAGCACCAGTTCCATCCCCAGCTGCCGGGGATCCCCAGCAGACCTCGCCTGCCACGCCTGCTGCTCCCCTCAGCAGTGTATTTCGTCAGTCTGACTGTTCTGTTCCCTGCTCTGGCTCTGGTGAATCCTGTCACCCTACTGTGCTTCTGACTGTACCCAGTGCTTGTAAAAATAAATAAATTAATCTTAAAAAAAGTAATTACTTTATAAAGATGCCTTAACCACCATGAAAATAAAATTTACAGACTATAGGATCTATACATGTAATCTTAACTGTTATATATGATTTCAAATATATATTTACACCTAATTGAAATACAAAAAGAACTAAAAAACAATTTATAATAAAGCAATGTTTTCAGATATATAGGTAAGTATAACTACACTAAGAGACATGAGGAGTGGAGCCCACATCTATATATAGAATCAGTACAAATACAACCATTACAAATATTGGCTGACACAAAGTGCTATTTTCAAGACTTAAAGTAAGTAGGTTTGCCATTAATAATAAGATTTTCCAAAAATGGTGAGCAAGTTTTAGTAAAGTTTGAAACAAAACGAAATAGAATTTTCCTTTAGTTGACATTGTGTATTAGTATGGAAAATTTGGTACATTTTAAATCGGTGCAGAGTATACTTTGTATTCACATGTGAAATAGTTTGACTATACCCAAAGACCAATATAAATAGGTTGTCCACCTGCAATAATGTTCAGAAAGACATTCAGAAGCTTTATGAGATACAAGATAGTTGTTCTTTGCAGAAACACAGGCTGTGAAACTTTGTAAAGGGACAGACAATATATACTTTAGGGATCGTGAACCAGACACTGTCACAACCCTGGATTCTAAGAAAGCAGCTTTAGACCATACATAAATGAATGGAAGTGGCTATGTTCAAATAATAGTATCTGGCAGGAGACCACTGCCTGTAGCTTGCCCACCTCTGGATTAGTACCCTATATGCTGCAGGATGCCCAGCTCCTACCCACTAAATCCAGTTGTACTGTCAAATCATTATGACAACAAAAACACCCCATATGGTGCAATAACCACCCCACTTTTCACCAGCTGAGAACTGTTATTCTTGTACTTGGCAAAGTCATTAAACTTTCTGGTCTTAGTTTCTTAGCTAAGCCTTTCTGGAAGGCAACGTCCCCTCAATCAAGTGTTTACTTTTTATCTCTCTTGTGCCTAATTCAAGACCTAGTTGACAACTTACTTCCCTTGACTAATGGAGGAATTTCTTTGTAACTTACAATTTTTTAGAATAATTTAGTATTGATAAACTACCTCATATTATTTCACAAATTATTCATTATCTGCATGCTTTCTCCTACCTGAAAGGCAAATTTCTAAAGGGCAGATCTGTGTCTATTATTTTTGTTCAATGACTCTCCTTAAGACACTCAATAAATATTGCAGCTTGACTACCATGCTCAATGTTGACTATTTAGCAGTGAACAATCAAATAACGTTGCTGACTTCACTAAGGTTATACACTAGTAGAGAAGAATAAAAATCATTCATTTTAGATTCCAATAAGAACCATAAAGGAGGGCCTCCCTTTGTGGCACAGTGGTTGAGCACTGGGCTGCGAAGCTGCCCGCACCCTCTGCAGCACCAGATCAATCCCTGGCTGCCGGTGAGGGTCCCACATGGCGCACAGACCTCTCCTGTCACGCCTGCTGCTCCCCTCAGCGGTGTACTTCGTCAGTCTGCCTGTTTTGCTCCCTGCAGAACAGCTAGCTGTGGTGAATTTTCTCACCCTCCCGCACTTCTGACTGTACCCAGTGCTTTTATAAATAAATAAATAAATCTTAAAAAAAAAAACCATAAAGGAAATAGACTGGTATCATAACAAGTAAAGACCAGTAAAATGTTGGTTAGCTGCTGCTTTTGTAATGATGGTCAAAGGAAACTTATTTGAAAAGAGAACATTTGACTTGACATCTGGCAATGAGAAGACCCAGGAAGAGCATTCCATCCATGGGAAATAGTAAGCATAACTTCCCACAAAGGAACTCTTATGGCATGTTGGAGGAAAAAAATCACCATACAGTACATGAAACTGAGATTTTTTTTTTTTAGATTTTTATTTTATTTATTTATACAAGCACTGGGTACAGTCAGAAGTGCGGGAGGGTGAGAGAATTCACCAGAGCCAGAGCGGGGAGCAGAGCAGGCAGAAGGACCGAAGGACACTGCTGAGGGGAGCAGCGGGCGGCAGGAGAGGTCTGCGCGCCATGTGGGACCTTCGCCGGTGGCCAGGGATCAAACCTGCGCTGCAGAGGCTGTGGATAGCTTCGCAGCCCAGCGTTCAACCGCCGGGGAGGCCTGAAACTGAGATTTTTTTAACAGATTTTTAAATGACAAAACATGGCTTAGATTTGTTTTAGTATTATACTGGTTAAAGAGAAGAAGCAGAATACTGGGAAGGTAAGAGAAGAAGTGGAGAGCACAATTAAGTTATTGCAGAAGCCAACAAGAACAAATGATATTTTGATCTGAAGAGTAAAGAGAAAGAAAGTAGACATATTTGAGATATCTTTTCAAGAACTATATGACTCATTCATGAGCTGGACTTGAGGAGAAGGATCACTTCTATTACAGTAACAGAATTATAGTGAGCGGACTACAAGCTCCATTTGGATATATCAAGTTCGAGATGATTATTATACAGTGATTGATTTTTAAAGGTTAAATGAACCTTATGTTGTTGGAATAAACCTCATTAGGTAGTAATATTTATCCTTTTGTGTATTATTGGAATCTAGAGATGTACAGTTGGTAGCTGAATATATAAGAATGGAAACAAAGAAATGGGCTTAGCTAAAGAGAGGAATGTGTAGGTCAACAACATATAGCTATTATTTAAAATCATGAAATTTAAAAAAAATCACCTGGTAAAGGTGTAGATTAGAGAGAAGAAGCCCCCTTACCTGTCCTAATACTTTGCGAAGGAGTCAGCACCAGAGAAAGAGAAAAGACTACCTACTTGAGGAATCTTGTGTCAGAGAATGTTTAGTCATGTGCAATCTGCTAAAAGATTGGGTAACATAAAACAGAGAGCCATCTATTTGATTTGGCCAAAAACTAGGCCTTTGATGAATTTCCCAAGAATATTTTCAGCTAAATAGGAATGATGCAAACTAAACTGAAGTGAAGGAGAATGAGAGATAAGAAAGTGAAAATGGAAAAGAGACTTCTCAAAATATTGAGTGTAACTCATAATGATAGGAGTGGGAAACAAATCACACCAGTGACAGACTACATTTACCTTAATTATACTATTGGAGTAAGTCACTGATATTTATCTTGTTATGGAACAGGAGAACAAGTAGTAGGATTCCTCCAATGCAAAAATAAACCAGTCTTATGTCAAGAAAATTTGTACTTTTCAAAATGTAGTAGAAGTAAAGCTATTAACACTAAAAGTCCTGAAACTGAAGAGAAAACTTCCCACTAATGACAGTAGAGGAACATTTTTATACAGGAAGCAATAAAGTAAAAGAGAGCAATTTCATTTCATAAAACTTGAAAGGTTGTGAGTAACAAGTAACAATATTATAAAAGGAATTTTTGTAGGAATGTCAATGGAATACGGTAATATAAATAATCCTATGGTCTAAAGAGCATCTATAAATGAATAACAAAAACCAACAGAAATATAGTAAAGGACAGAAACAAAGAGTAGGGAAATATAAATGTCCAATAAAATAGGATGATCTACCCCTCCCATTTTTAAGAAATTTCCCAAAAAGTCATGAATACAGACTAAAGTTACCTTAATATGCATCTTAGGAACACTGAAAAAAGAAACATCTTACCTACAACATTCCACAGTCGCTTAGTTATAACCTCATCATGAATACACAGAAAGTTTTACCCCCATACCTAAGTATACAGCACAGTAGTTTCATTTTATTTAACATGACTTGATGTAATTGCAAGAGATACTGATTTTTAAAACTCAGTTTACACATAAACATACAATTTTAAAACCAAGCATATTCAAAGGCATTTAATAAACAGCTACAGCATCCTGTAAATATAAAATTAAAGATAACAAAAAAGAAAATACTTACCTTCCCTGATAGCTGTAAAAGGAGTACCTTCTTCTTCTTGCAGCCTGATCACCTTCAAGGCTACCAGTTTCCCATTTACCCTTAGAGAAACAAAAGAAAAGATAAGCAAATCAGGGAAAATATGTTCCCATTATGGTTCTAATTGTCCTCCTTACAATTTCTATCTTATGCATTTTAACACTGAAAATGTCAGTGACTCAATTATACTGCCACAACAAGATTAATTTCAGTAAGACTGGGACTCTATATCATCATTATAAATATTCACACTTTAAATATTCACACTTTCAAAATCCAAGATTTAACTGAAATCTTCTGTGATTCACTCTATGTTCCTTCCAGAATGAAATTAATGCATACATAACAAAATCACCATCCTTGATCACTAATTCTCAGATTAATTAAAAATCAAACAGTCAAAATAACGCTCTCCATTTGTTTCTCCAATAACTTCTTCTTTGTTTCTTTGGCCAAAACACCTTCATATTCAATTTAAGCTAAGATCCTTCAACTCCCCAAAGACAGAATATTGACTGTCTCCTCTCTTTTTCTCAAAATCACCAATTCACCCTTTTTTGCTATATATTTTTTTACTATAGCCTCCTAAAATTATATTTAGTGTGGTTGTGTTTTATTATGCAGTATATCTTCAAAATCAAAGTTTGAAATTTTACTATTACAAGAAGACTATCCAAAACAGATGGTTCTTCCAGACACATTCTAAATGTGTATCAGTTCTAATTAAAAGTAAGATTGCACTAGACAGATAACATTTTATCTAGTCAATTCTGTTAACAAAGACTATACACATGTTGGTCTTCTCCTTGAACACCCTACTTTTTAACTTTATTAGACCTCGAAACATGCTTTGTTTCTTAGAACAGGTAAAACAAGCACGCATTAAAAACACAAAAGGTATAAGAAAGCATTTGATGACTGGATCTAGAAGATGTGGTATATACACACACCCACACACACACACAATGGTGCATGGGTGCATTGGTGAAGGAAATTCTATGGGGACTACACCTGGGGGGAGGGATGCAAATATTGTTTAAAAATGAACAATGATGTAAAAAATAAATAATAAAATAAATACAAATTTTTAAAAAAAGAAAGAAAGCATTTAATGAAAAGTAAACCTCCTGTCACACCCTTCCTGAAATACCCAGCTCCTGTCCTCTGAGGTCACCACTCACCATTGTTCACATACACACACACAAACAGTAGTGTGCTATAAGGAGTACAAGAGCACACTCTATATTGTTTGTTTCACTTAATATATTTTGCTGCTTTCCTGATAAAGTCATAGAAAACTTTCTTGCTTTTGAAGACCACAGGGTATGAATGTAGTATATACTTATTTTAATCCCAGTCCTCTACTGATAAGCATTTAGCTTGTTTGCATTTTTTTGCTACTAAAACAATCATATAAGAAATATTCTTGGACATATAATTTCAGCCATGTAAAAATATGTCAAAATTTCTAAACTTGGAATTGCAAGGTCAAAAAATATGTGCATTTTTAAATTCTAATTTTAAAAAATATTGGAAACTTATCATACATTGAGGTTGTACCAAGTGACACGCCTTCTAGTAAATGTAAGTATTCCTATACACCCCATCCACCTCATTCATCCTATACTATACTATCAATCATTGTTTAAACTGATCTGATAAATCAAAATGTTTCTCATTGCAATTTCAATTGCAACAAAGATCTCTGTAGAGATTAAGGAGCCAGCAATGGAGAGCTCATGTAGTCCAGAGAATCCAGTGCTGGGGTTTGAAATAAGTAATTTGAAAGTCTCTTTTTTAAAAAAAAAAATCCAATTGGTCAACTTCTGATCTAAGAAAGTGAAAATCAAAATCAACAAAAAACTATGAACCAGAGACACTTTTTGGGGGGTGGAGGGCGGGAGGGGAGGGATTGGGGTCAGAATGGGGGGGTTGCAATTGTATGGGGAATATAAAAATAAAATTTATTATTTAAAAAAAAAAAAGCTGGCATAGACACAAATCTCAAAAGGCCAAGAAATTTAACATAGTCCATCCACCCCAGTGGCTTTCTTCATTGAAATGATTGTTGAATTACATTACTTGGTTGCAATAATCAGATAAGGACAACTGATTGTAAGGCTCCACAATGTTCCATCTCCTGAAGACTAGAAGCTGGATTTATTTCTCCTGTGTTTGAGCTGGAAGGACACGTCTGCTGTTTTTCTGTTCTGCAACTCTCCTCTGCTAAGTACATTTGATTTCTCTAATCCTGACAGTGCTTTACGTACCCAGGTGCAGGCAGAAAATTAATATGCACATGGGGTTCAACTGGAGACTGTACCTTGTGCTCTTCAGTTTGTCCTTTCTAACGAAGGGAGGCCTTTGGCGGGGCTTGAGGGTGAGATGCAGTCAGTGCTGACATCTGCACAGATTTTTCTCAGCCCAGTTGAGCTCATCATTGGCTCCCTGAGGAGGTAGTAACTGATTCCAGGAACTGCTTGGAATTTTCCCCTCATTTACAGATATTTTCTCCTCACTAACAAAAACACACACACAACCTTCTTCCCATAAAGCTTTTCTATTTCCCATGAGACTGTTCACTAATACATACCAGGAACCTACTTCTGGCATACAGGGACTTCATGTTTTTGAAGCTTGTGTACTTAAAACACACTCTCAGGCTGTGAAACTATAATTGTTCTAGAATGCACTGAAAAGAAGCAAGCCTTCATTGGAACTAACACTCCTTACATGCAACTAAAGATGAAACCCCTTTAAGTAATCCCATAAACTAAGCATTATGCTTGTGGTAATAAAAAATTTCTGGATATATTTTCTGCAATAGGTGCATAAAATATCAAGACCCAGGTTCATGGCATTCTGATTCTAAAACACCATTCTCGATGAAATAAACATCTAAATAATGCTTTCTTATAGTTATGATAATGACAACAGTTAAAAACATTGAGATTTTATGCATTATATCATATGAAACTAAAAATGTCCCTAATATTAATAATAGACTATAAGCTTCAGGAGCAAAGGAACTTTTCTGTTTTGTTAACTGTTACATGCCAGAGCAAAAACTGCCTGGCGTGGTCTCTCAAAATATTTCACTGAATAAATACTAATAATGTTACTATACTGGGGCCTCCCCGGTGGCACAGTGGTTGAGCTCTGGGCTGCGGAGCTGCCTGCAGCCTCTGCAGCACTGGTTTGATCCCCGGCCGCAGGCAAGGGTCCCACATTGCGCTGCTGACCTCTCCTGCCGCGCCCACTGCTCCCCTCAGCACTGTGTTTCGTCAGTCTGCCTGTTCTGTTCCCCGCTCTGGCTCTGGTGAATTCTCTCACCCTCCCGCGCTTCTGACTGTACCCAGTGCTTGTATAAATAAATAAATAAATAAATCTTTTTTTTAAAAAAAGTTACTATACTGGTATTTCCTTATGCCAAAAAATTAATTCAAGGATAAAGTATAAAAATTATTTACCCAAACTTCAGAAATCTCAAAACTTTGCAAAGCTTTCAGTATCTGTCATATCATATGTTAAGTACTGCTTTCTTTTCTCAAATTAGAGGTGCAGTCTCTTTGCTTTTGATGCATATATTTCCTTCAAGTTCTAGCATGTATAGAATACTTTGTTAATTAACCTTTTTGCAGCCAATATGTTTTCAAATCCTCACTATTCTTTAGTAATCTGAGCCCAGAACACTAATCAGCTCTCTTCTCCCACTGCTTCATTGGTTTCCCATTAAGAATAATATTGATTATCAAATTGCTCTTTAACCTGAGTCACTGTGACTTTCTTTTTCTTAATTAGTTTTTTCTACATGTCTAGACACTCACCAACTACAAAATCCCTAGTAAAAATGTTAAGTCACTAGCTTCACTTTCAGAAACAGTACCTTTGGAAAAAATAACATTACAAGCTTCCTAATGTTTGTTCATTGGTGAATATATTTTATTAAGCTTTAGTATGGTAAAATACTTGAAATTCTAAGTTACTTCTCTAGTGAAATGTCAGTTTTTAAAGGCATCAAAAGAAGATATCTGTTAGTCTATGAAAAACAAGTGAACATTGTTTCTAGTAATTATTTTGTGTGTTTAAGTTACTTTATAAAAGATTCAAAACATATACTCCAAACACTGATTGAGTTCTTTAGACTAATTACAAAATTCAAATTGAATCAATAAATTACAGCTGTTTACAGGAAAACATTGAAGATTTCTCTATAACAAATCTTATTAATTAAATCAAAAGCTAATGAATAGAAGGTAATCAAGGCTTGATTGGCAATGGAGACACATTAATTCAGGTAAAAAAAACATGGTTTTAAAAATGCTTTAAATTGTGTTACTATTATCACAGAATGTTTTGTGAGAACATTTTTGACAGATTTGCTCTGTTCGTTCTAAACTGTAAAGGGAGCCATTTTAATTTCAGAGATTCTTTATATTCTGGAATTGTTTCAACAACTGTAGTTCCCAGCTCAGCCTCACTGGGAGGCCCACTTCAGGCTCAAGGAGGAGTGACTCACCACTTCAGCCTGTATTGCAGGGGAAGAGCTGTCAAGAGCAGCTGGGGAAGAGCCAGGGGATGCCAAAGCATAGAGCTATCTGCTCACAGAGAGGGAACAATGGGTATCCCAGCAGAGCTTTGCTAAGTGGGGTCCAGCTTTCAGAAAGGTACTAACCACAAATGCAAATCTCTGCCAGCTTCAGAAAGTCTGTCCACAGTTCTGTGTGCTCAAAGTTTGAAAATAATAAAATTCTCTTGTGAGAGTAAAGCAAGATCTGGAAGCTCTGAATAAGAACAGCCTATTCTTCTTTTCAAGCAACTGTCCATTTGTTCATTCAACATTTTGTGAAACCTATAAAGGAAAACTTACCACTTAGCTCAGGATTAATTTTCCAGATTCAATAGATGATGTACAAAAAATTTCCTTACAGACAGACAATCCTCAAGGGAAAGCCTAAAGGTTTTCTATTCCATTAGTTACCTCAAATTAATAGGATAACATAGTACAATAAAGCAAAATTACAAATATTATCTAGGTCATCTTTGAAAATAGTGTCCATGT